ATCCCCCCCCCCCCCCCTTTTTTTTTGTTCTTTTTTTCTCATCAAAGGTTTTCATTTCCAGGATATTCAAGAAACAGGTTATAGCTTGGGCTTGATTAGTGGAGAATATGGAAATCAGTAGAGCTTATTTATTAATTATTTTACTTCTACAATGACTAGAAAATAAGTATTCCATGTACCAGACTAGACACCACCTATCACAGATGTGCATGTTAGGGTGAGGTTTACTGTGAGCATAAGAATGCACATCACCATCAGAAAATTTAGATCTTTTTGAGCCTGGGGCTATCAGATCTCTGTACCACACCTTAATGACACTTTGATGAGTAACCATTTGAACAGTAGGGGAGATGGAGTCAGACTGGAGATACTGTGAGGTATCAACACCTAGAAGACTTTTCATTCCAGCCCTCTCTTTTGATCATTAATCATATGCTTCTCTCTTTGACCTGAGCAACTTGTGACTTTTTTTTTCTTTCTTTTTTTCCTTTCCAAATTCTCTACTCCTAGTTTGAATATGTATACAGCGTGTGTTTTCCTAATGAAAATAAACATTCAACTAGGATGGGTGCATAATATTGACCAAGGTAGCCTCCAACTATTTGAATTGCATTGAAGTCATGAGGCTTTTCACATCATGGAAACTGTTGACACAATATGACCTACTTCATTCTTTAATGTTGTTTCTTTCAAGTTGTTTTCAGAATGTAGTTGTATTGTACCCTTGTGTGCAGGTGAGCAAGAGATTCAATGATGTGGCAGGCGGGCTCCTGACAGCCACATTTCAGAGGCTGCTCCACCAGATGCAGCAGGAGTATCACATTATCCGGGCACAAATGCCAAGGCGGGAGTCAGCCCGCCGGAGTCACCCATTAGCGCGCAAGTGGGACATCTATGAGACACTCTCCATGCGCCTCTCTCTCCTCCAAATGACTCTTGGAAAACACTTGGACCTCAATCACATCCCATTCTTCCCTGGGGAGGTAAGGCCTCAACTTTCTTGCTATTTTACCAAGAAAAGTTTAGATTTTTTTCTCTAAAAACTTTGGTTTTGCAAGCATTCTGGGTTTCAACATTTTTTATTATCCCAATGTACTACTGAAGAATACTGGACATGCTGCACAAGTACTTGTCCAGTGAGGGAATGCATTGAAATGGGGTTATTTTGCCTGGTAAATCTGGGTTTGAAAACTGCAGCTAGTAAATGAATGGATAATTGCCAAGATTATAAGGATTGCAGTAATATTGCAGATATGCTCCTGTATGCACACATATCTTTCTCCTCTCACTATTGCAGTAGAATTTTGAATTTGTGACCTTATCCATGAATCCTAAATGAAGAAAGCCTGAAGCCACCTAGCATGTGTTCTTTTAGAATTCACAATTCATGACAGGGAAGAAAAAGTTGCCCATTTTACTTGCATTTTCATGGTAATTCTTTTAAAATTTGTTGTGATTGTGTTACATACCATTTCAAAATCATTCTGGCATTATATGGCTTAAAATTGAACCAGATTGAATATGAAACAGAAGTGAAAGAAATCTGTCTATGGTGCAATTATTTTTGCATGAAGTAATGTTTGATATGGCTGGTTGGTTTTTGCAGATATTGGATGAGGTGTTCCGCATCCTCCACTACATTCAGGTGACTCCAAACATAGAGAATCTGCGAGCATTCAAGCTCACAGATGAACTCTTTGACCTCTCTGAAATGGCCATGGAGTACTTCAAAGAGAAGATAGAGCCAGCATTACCAGAGATATCGTACTTCAATTCTGAATTCTGGGACTTCACATTCTCAGGTCTGCCTGGCTAATCTAAGTGATTGAAATTGATTTTATTTAACTGAAACTACTCCAATAGTAGTTTTCAGTTTAGATAGTATTATTTTCAATGCATATAACTGTTGCAATTGTATAGGAAAGTAGAATTATTGGTGGAACCTTTCATTACCCATGGAATTGATGGTCTCTGCCATTTCTCTGCATGGACTCCAATTCCAAGCCATTCAAGGAGGATGAACCTCATTTAGGTTCCAAAACAGAAAGGAATTTAGCACTTTTTCACACTGATTCCTAGTAATCCAGTATATACCTCACAGTACTGGTATCCAGTATCTCTCCCCCCCCCTCCCCCCCTCTAACATAACTCTCATAAAGATTAAATTGGAAAAATTAACTCTTTTTTGCATGACATAGTAACAAATAGTGAGCAGTGCTTGCTTGAATGTAGTAGGCTTTTCAGCTACCAAGGACCAGAAGGAGAGAGGCAGAAGGAATTTGAGCTGAAAAGCTGGGAAAAAAAAGAAATGTAAATATAAAAGTAAAACATGTTAGTATATGTAACAAATAAATGATTTTTTCCTGCTGACTCATTGTGATTGTTGCACAATAATGCCTGTAATAAAAATACTGGCTGATAGTCAGTGACTGGTGAGATGCTTTTGCAATCCTCTACTTGTTTGCAAAATTCTGAGAAATTTCAATACTCTGTATTAGAAGATTTTGAGGTCAATCTGATAAGTCAATTAGCCAAAAATATTTGATTGAGCAAAATAGGGTGATTTTTAATCCACCA